TTTCCCTTAACAGTTTTCAGTGGTTTGGTCTGGGTATAGGATTACATTTCAGCGCTCACCTAATAGACTGCATAGGACATTGCTCTTTCATCTTTCTGCGCCAAAGTTCCACATTCTTAGACTGGTGTAAATCTCAGTGCACTTAAAGATTGTGACATGGCAATGGATGGCATTCCAAGTGTCTTAGTCTATGTTAAGTGTTTGCGGTAGCGTAACTACCTCTGCTACTAGGCAACTATGCTGGTAAACATGTCTCTCTGTAGACAGGAAAATAGGCACTGATTTTCCATTTATTGCTGGTATTTTATCCAATAATTTCCCCTCAAGTGTTTTATAAGCTATTAGATATAGGGGAGAGAGTTAAAAGTTGTGGCTGATTTCTAATCCTTCCCTTTCAGTAATTCTTGATGTATTTGCCAATAACTGTGCTCATCTTGGGTTCTCCCACTTCTTGCATATTTTTGCCACTTTAAAGGTGATGTGCAAAAGAAAATAAGGGTTTTTATTAACCCTGAATTTTTTTTGTTTAAATCAGTTTTTTATCAAGAACTATTACTTAAAATACCTTTAAAATGGAAGCAGGACTAAAAGCAAAATAAAACCCTTTTAATGCCCTTGGAATAAAACAGGCTCTGTGTCGAAGCCACAGAGATGTATCTGAGTACAGAAAGCCTTTACGGTGAAATTCCTAAAAGGACACTGAATTCATTCGTTCCATTATAGGCTCCATTGTCAATTACTTAGTTCTGTCCATGTGACCTTCAATATTTGTCTTTTCTAGCTTTTCTTTTGTGCTTGGTTTTCATCTTCCTTGATGGTGCTTGTTTTCTACTGTATCTCACTTATAACTAATAAGCTAACTTCTCCCATTCTTAAAGAGCCACTTTTTCACAAAATCCTTTCTAAATTAATCCTTCTGGGCAAAACAAATGTCCATAATAATCCACATCAGAAAACTGATTTTTATGTCTGATTTGTGTGGTCTTTTTTCATTTAAATTCTAAGCCTTTTAAGCTAAGGACCATATCTGCTAAATAAACAGTTTCTGCTGTAGTACTGGTGTTCATTGAGGACCTAATTGTTAGCTTTATGGAAATCCTATATAATCATAATGGTGTAAGCCTGGAAGTTTAAATGTTAGAATCCTTTTTCAGTTTGTGCAGTCTCCACCTATACTAATGCATTAGAAGGAGCTTGAGCTGGTTAAGCATGGTCAGAGTTATTACTTCACAATGCACTTTTCTCCCTACCCACTTAGTGTTTTATTTTCCTTAAATGTTTTGCAACTGTTCATCTACTGCAGTCACACTCGTCTCCTTAGGTAGTCATCTCAGGAAATTTTTAGAGTAGTGCTGCCCATAACCAGTCCAGCCCCTGAAGGTACAAAATGAATTTTATTTAAGTAAAATATACTTTTAAAAATAGTCATTATAGACATGGTAAACTTGAGAGCAAATTACCTAGATCTGAGACAGCACTATGCTGTCTTATGAACAAATGTGCACTATGGGAAGGAAACCCAAATAAGTAAACCTCTGAGCTATTTTTATTAGAGGGTGGGACAAATTAATGAGGTACTATCTTCTCTATTTAAATATGAGTCTTTGAGGAAGTGAGTGGCATTGGTAGCTTTTTCATGCATAATTCTCAGAGCTGAAGAGAAAATGATATGCTGGTAGTTAACATTATATTCTTGAAATGAGTTATACCAGCGTGTACTGTCTTCTGTACCTGAGCTGAAACAGTGGGGACCTCATTCAAACTATTCTCTCTCCCTCTGGTTTACAATTTTCACCAAAGAAAAGTCTCCTTTGAACCTTGGAAGAGCACAAGGAAAATGGTAGGTTCAACTTCCACTTTAAACATTTCTTGGAAAGCTGTGGAATGCAACTTGGATGGCAGGGATTTTTAAGAATACATCCTCTTCTTTTTCCTTCCTAGCACGTTTTATAATTTGTTCTAATGATTGTAGGTTGCATTGCATAACATGAATTGGATAGCATTTTCATATTCATGTAATAGTATGTTAATAATCTTTTCCAGAATATTTATAGCCCAGAGGATACTATATTCTGTCTTTTCCGTTTTTTCTTTTGAAATGGAACAGCCACAAAAAGAGGTCACAGAGGTCAATACAGCATATAACATCAGTACCTTGTTTCTCAATATTTGATGAATACTGTAATTCAGATGTAGATTTAATAGGGTTATAACTACTCCTCTGATTGTCATGGATGCTTATCAGAATGTGTTATAATATGATTAACAGGTGAGAATAAAATGTTGGCATTCGAAATACTGATAGAACCGATGATGAAATATATATTTGGAACAAAACACAGTACTTTTTTTACTTTCTGTATATGCAACCAAATGGTTAACAGAAAACTGCAATATCGCATGTATGTTCAAGCTGCTCCTTCAAATTAATTTCTCCTATTCTGAAGACTTTGTTACCAATTGTTACTGATAATTCCCTGAAGAAACTGGAAGGAGACCCTTCGTTTTGTATTATAGTATGCATTACACAAATAACTAGAGGTAGTGCTTAATCAAAGGGCTAACTAGCTAAATAAACAAAATAAATTGAGAAAAGGGAAGTTGCAGCTTCTCTGTGTGAGAAGTAGGAAACAACACAGAAAGAAAAAGGCCTAGATTAGCTTTGTAAGCATAAAGATTAAGAAATTCATATTGTTTAGGGACCTAGACATTTTTGAAAACCCCACTATACCTTTAGGTGCCTAAATACCATTAAGAACCTGGCTTAAATGACCTGGGAAGTCTGTGACAAATCAGCAGGGGAGAAAAAAAAAGCTTCATCTTGGATTCAAGTACTGGGCCGGGCAGGTGATGGCTCAGCTCTGGTTTTTAGATCCTGGGCCTAGGGCTGAAGCTAGAGTTGAGTTGCTGCCTGCCTCTGGCTGGAATGGCTTGTTTGGCAAGGGAGCCGGCACATGGTAGAGGGGGGAACTACAGCCTACAGCTTACCCCTTCACCCTGATCCCCCACACCTGTGCCTGTCTCTCCACTCCCTTATCCCTCCCTGCTGCTTGCATCCCCCAGCACATCCTCTTCTCTCTGACCTTTTGCTTTAGCCTCTCCAGCCCTGACCTAGTCACTTCCTCTGACTGCTCTGGTGCTAAAGCAGAACCGCAGCAGAAGGTTGGAGCAGGAAGTGGGGCTGGGAGGCAAGCATGGTGGGGACAGGTGTCAGGTGTCAGATACATACATGGGGAGCACGGGGTAGGGGAGGCAGGTAAGGAGGGGTAGGCAGAGGCATGAGGGGCAAGGTGTGGGAGGCAGACAGGCACAGAGGGGCAAACACTGGGAGTGCATGGTAGGCGGCAGGCACAGGTAATAGGGGGAGGGGCGGGGGGCATGCAGGGAGGGCAAGGGGTTGGGGCCTGGCCCCTCAACATCCACTGCTGCTTTCCCTGCCAGAATGGTGGGCTGGGGAGAAATTGGAGGGGGAGGGGGGGGACAAATTTAAGATGATGTTCCACTATAATTTTCCATATATACAACTTAATTAGTGAGGGGTCTACTTACATTCAAAGTTGTCTTGGATTTGGGTAAATATGGTATTAACCACAGCACCATTATTCTTTTTAAACAAACAAATCATAGTTTTGAATATAGATCATTACAAATAATTGCAGCAGTGATGGCTACAGTTATCACAGGGGAGACTTATTTGAACGGGTTGGAAGTTAACCCATTTGAATTTTGCTTCCATCTGGGGGATGGACGGAAAAACAGCATAAAAGGCAGCATTGTTTGAACTGCCCTGCTTTCTGCCTTGGTGTCAGTTACTGAGCTGCGTGTTGGAGCAGCTTCAGACAACGAAGGCTACTAGCACTGGTTTTCTGAAGGATTTCCTACTTGCTAGCCTAGCAAGAGGGATTTCAGAATACCTTTTTGGCTTTTTCTTTCTTCTACATGCTTTTATTTTATTATTATATTAATTGATTTATTCTTTTTCAATTTTATAATTATATTGGATAGGATTACTATAGAATTTAATTTATATAGGAAGGCAATTATATTTTATTTCTGTACATTTGTACTTTGCAGCATACATATATAATAGAATTTATATAGGAAGAAAGATATGTTTATATTTTTTGTATACATTTATACTTTGCACCACATGCACATTATTGAATTTTATATAGGAGGAAATACATATTAATTCATTTATATTTGTTTTTATACATTTCTACTTTGCGCCACACTCACTCACATTACTGAATTTATATAGAAAAGCAAATAAATTTATATATTTGTAGAAAAGCAAGACATGAAACGCACCGTGAAGTGGTAGTGGCAAGCCTTCAGGGAGGGGTAGAAGAGGGGGTAGAGGGAGAAATGTAATTCCCCTCCCTCCCCCCCAACCAAACTTAGACACAGCCTCCCCAAGCAGCAAGGAGAGGAGAGAAGTGCCACTGCCTGTGTCTGAGACTGCACCCCCTCCACGAGCACCAGCCATAATCCCTGCACCACTACCATGACAACAAGTACCAGCACCAGCATGATAGCCTCCTCCACCTCCATTTCACTTCCCATGCTGAGCCTTCCAGTGCCAGAGAAAGAGCGGGAGCTGGATCTGGATCTTAGTGAATAGCAAGGCACTGGGGAAGGAGGCTTCCATGGGATGGCTTCCATGTTGGGGTCCAGAGGCACCAAACCCCACCATCAGGCAGGTAGTGCTCAGCCCTGGGGGCCTGCCTATCTCACCCAGGATGTGGAGCCACTGCTGTGCAGCCCCTTGGCCTACTGGACCAGTAACAGCCAAATGTGGCCGGATCTGGCCACGGTTGCCTGCAAGCACCTGTCCTGTCTACCAACCAGTGTTTTGAGTGAGAGGGTGTTCAGCATTGCTGGGGAAGTAGTGACACCCCACTGCATATGCTTGGATCCTGGTTTGGTGGACCAGCAGGTGTTCCTCAAAGTGAACCTCCTGCTGCTGGGGTTCCCCAAGCTTCAGGTGTAGATGGAGTGAATGCCACCTTCCTCACTCTGTTTGCACCTATTTCCTTTTTTCATTTTTAAAAGCCATTTAATGCCCCGCTCTCAGAGCTGGAGAGGGCACTCACTGCATCACCAGTCAGCAGGGGAAGAATATATCCCTACTGAGCTTCTGTCCCAGGATGAACTTGGAGGTATGGGCCAGGGCTATGAGGAGGACACCCCAGGTCCTGGGCATGACCACTAAAACTGCACTCTGCCAGGGTCAGGGAGGCTGGTGAGACTGCTGGTGGTGTGGCAGCCCCATAAATGTCAGGACTGAGGATCCCCCTTGTGAAAGGTGGGTAGGAGGCACCATAACTTAGAGCTACCACACACATGCACAGTCCTGGCTGGGGAAAGCCCAGACCCGTCATGTCCTTGACAGGTCCGGGGCTTACTGGTTGCAGTGGAGTTGTGAGGCTCCAGGTGAGCTCAGCTTAGCTGCCTGGAATGCCAGCTTTCGGGTTGAAAAACCCTTCATCAGGCTGAAGAAGCACCTGCAGTTGTTGTGTGTGTGTACTGTTCTCGAATGGAAGAAATAGAAAAGAAGCCAGAGGCTGGCATGCAATGCAGACAAGAAAGTCAGTCAGTGAAAATGGAAATGGAGGTGTCAGGGGGTGAAGGACAGGCTGGGGTGGGGAGGGGGATGTATCAGCACAGGTAAAAGTGAAGAGGTACCTGGGGAGTCAGATGTCCAGCAGGTTGTAGTGTGTCAGAATTCCACTATGTTGAGGCCATGAGTTTCTGTACCTAGGAGGCTGATTAAGTGACGTTCATAGGCCCTGCTGTGAAAAGTGGTTTGAAAATTCCATCTCAGGATCAGGCCTGAGAGACTGGAGGCAGTGTTTTTTTTGTGAGAAATGTGCCCCCACAGGTAGTTGGGTATTATTGTCTTTGATAGATTCTGGGGTGCAGTTTGTGGGGGTACTGAAGGTAGTTGGCAGGTTTTGTGTTTTGTGCTGTAGGAAGTTGGCTTTAGTTCTGGTGATGAGGTTAGGTGAGCAAGGTTTGGTGCTTGTTTCAATTTACAAACCACTTTTCAGAGCCAGGCCTATGAACTCCATTTCATCAGCCTCCTAGGGAGTAGGTACAGAAACTCATGGATTCAATATAGACATTGGAATTCTGACACACTACAACCTGCCAGACATCTGACTCCCCAGGTACCTCTGCAATTTTACCTGTGCTGCTACATCTCCTTGCCCCTCGCTCCCCTTGCTCCCCACCATGCCACCTCCATTTCCATTTTTACTAACTGGCTTTCTTGCCTGCATGGCATGCTAGGCCAGCCTCTGGCTTCTTTACTATTCTTTCCATCCAGGACCAGCGCGCGCACAGACTAAAAGCAGTGCTTCCTCAGCCTGACAAAGCCTTTTTCAACCCAAAAGTTTACTAAGATAGATTTCTCTAAATATTCAGTTTTAAAAAACATAATAAACATATAAACATAAAAACACAACATAACCCATTACACAACACAAGTAACACATCATTTATATATCCAAAACAATATCTCTATTTCTTCCATTCAATTCTTTTATTAAAAAGAAAGGCTCTGTGACAGTTTGGCTGCCTGAGACACTACTGGTGCTACTGTGCTAGTGCTCACTAAGTTATTTTATACCTGTTGTCATTTAAAGTGGTGGACCAGACTGAGGCTGTAAGGGGGGAGGCGGCCTCATTGCAGCACACTACCGTGTCGTGTAGATGTCCCAGTGCCAGTGAGGGCACACCTTAACACAGATAGTCATGAGTTTTGCCTGTCAGCAGCCTGAGATGCAGTTTCCCAGAACCCCCTGCACCTATCTCCTTGAAAGATGGCAGGCTTAT